CGACAACCCTGAGGTCAATCTACATAGAACCTACAAAGCCCCACAAATGAACAAAGCGCACACACGTAGACACATATACACACACAGACATACATGTGGTGCATACACTCGCACTAACTCAAACTAATAAAAGGACAAACAAAACCCAATGCCCTTCCGTCCATCCATCAAGCCACCCTCACCATGCCCCTCAAGTGCAATAATAACAATCTGCAGTCCCCCGACTCACCACCTAATAACCACAAGGACCTGCCCACACCCACATTACACACTCACTACCACCCCCTACCCCAAACAGACAACAGAAACATGCACGAATACTAACTAAAACAGAATAAAACAGACAGCCATACAGACCCCATACCCCTCCCACCATCCCCCAAGCTGGCCCCCTCACGTACGTTTTCAACAACCAGCACATACGTACATAACATTAACAAACCCTCTCCCCCATGAAAACTCGTAAGCCGCCCACCTACCATATATACCGCCACACCCGCACCACTCCCCCACTGACACCTCCCACCAAAGACCTCAACAGCTGCATACCATACTTGCAGCGCATCGCGTGCGCGGCTGTTGCAGGATCAGAAAATGAACATGGCAATCAGTAATGCAAGTCAAGACTGGACAAGACTGACAGACCCGACGCAAGACAAGATAAATGAGGGAAGGTGGGATCTCATAAAGTCTCAAGAGTACAAAGATAAGGACACAGTCAGTGCTCAGCGTCTATGCTCTCACTCTCCCCCCTCTCCATTGATCTTTGCCTCAATCTCTTCGAGTATCTGACAACATGTCCATGTACACCTTGAAACTGCCTGAGGAGTCTTGGAACGAAAGACCACCTGTGTTGACAGACGTCTCAAAATGACCAGTCACAAATGAGAATCTTCGTGTCAATCCACATACAGAACTCTTCCCATGCTGCTGATATATGGCTGAGAGTAGATCCCCCATCTCAGATTACCAACCCCTGGCTCAGTCAATGCATCAATGTTGATTTCAATAGGGGATATGTACCTCTTTGCCAAATCAACAATGTTGCCCTAGTAAGTGTCGTCACAACTGCTAGACGGAACAGGAGGTTTCGGGTAGTCGGTGTATCTCTTTGGACCGAAACTGCAGGTAAACTTTGCACCTTCCGAATTGAAAACGTTTGCTCTTTGATCAATGTAAATTGCTGCTTCTCTCCAGCATGAATTGAAGTATAGATGAGTCTCTTTCCCTTTTTTAATGTAGGGTCTCAAGTCGTATTCTGAAGTCTGTGAGAATTGAGTGAGGATGACGTCGATTGTGAGGTCCTGCTCTTTGAAACCGGTGCCGCTGATGTAGAGATAGGGGATAGATCCCTTAGATGCAATTCTGTTGAGGTTGGCCAGAACCGATCCACTCACCAGAAAGGACTGGACTGTGTCCTTCACTGAAAACCCTTGGCACTCTCTTCTGTTTGCTGGTTCTTCCCCTGGTACTAAGCACATACGATGGCACCCTATGCGATGGCGGGTAATCTACCATAGAGGAAAGGAAGAATTCCGCGATGGCAGGCACGAACAGATATAGCAAGGAAGAGTATACCACTCAAGATCAGTTGATGTTGACGTCAACAGCTTCATGCGCGTGCGTGTGCCCTCGCAGGTCTGAACCTCTCTCTCTCGTCTCGCAACTGATACCCCATCCGTGTGCTGCCTGCAAGTTGCCCATAATCACCTCACACCTCAATCTCCCCGTCGCAAGACCGCTTCTGGGCCGTCCCCCACAGGTTCGCCTGGTTCGTCCCTACCCGGTGGTCCATTCCAGGTCCAAGTCCACCCTGGATCTTCACTCGACGCGTCACTCTCCTCGCTCTTTGCTTCTGAGTCCTGGTCCAGGTCCCGTTGGGCACGCTCGGTAGTCCCTGCGGAGAATGCCTTCGTCGAACGCGATCGTAACCTGAAGTCCGGTAGAAACCTTGTCGCGTTTGTACCTGCGCTCCGCCCTATTCCTGGCCTTGGTAATGGCCACTTGCAGTCCTAATCTCTCCTCATTTTCTCCTCTTTCCCACCTTCTACGTTTACTTCTAGTTAGCCCTCTCTGACCATCGTAATCCAAGATCACCGTGATCCTGGCACCTTCATCCTCAATTGAAGCCCATTGCAGTATCTGATTCATGGCATCTGGTCGGTAACCGTGTAGGCCCTTGCGATAGGCCATAGCCACGCCTCACACTATCGGACTCCCCTACTCACACTCAGTGCCACTCTCAGCCCCCACTCCCTCGCTAGGCTCACCAATCGACATGGTTGAGGCTATCCAAAGCAATCCCCACTGGTGGCAACTATCTCACCGCCCTTCATTCACTAAGTGGCAAGTACTTCGGTGGTCCACACCATCCATCTTATATAGAGGCCTAGTAGGTCAGTACGGTCAGGAATGCAGGCAAGGACGTGAAATTATAATAATGATTACAAGGGGACCCGCCGCGGCTCCGCCTGCGGCAGAGTAGGACGCAGGACGAAGAAGCGGGAGGCCGAGGCGCGAAGAAGGGAGGGGTGGATGTGAGGGATGTGTCCACAACCCCCATATTCACCCACCGAACCTCCCTCGTCCATGTCTCCATGTCACCTTCCCCCCTCCCCCCGATCTCGATTCCCTCCCCCTCGCCTCAATCTCGATTCCTCTCCCCCCCTCTGAATCTCCCCCTCCTCCCGCAATCTCGGCT